ATCTAACTTATTTACTGTGGCACTCCTCTGATCATCGTATACTTGTGTAATTACACAGTTCAGCCAAATTAAGACCACCACAGAAACACACTATTTGTAAGGAGCAATCTTCAAAATTCACCCCTCTTTTTCCACACTGGCTAGTCAAAAACTTTATCCACTTAAATGGGCAGCTTCATCTTTTTTTTTTTTTCTTTCCTAAATATAAAGCATGAGCTATTTTCAGGCCACTCAAGGAAAGTCATGGTGTGTAATATCAAACTCTTCGATTTGTTGCTGGCATATCATTGCAAAATGTCATCTTCTCCTGTTGTTAATGGTCATGGCCAGAGAATGCTTATGATCATTACTGATCCGTATCACTGATTTCTTCACATTCAGAATCACTTCAGTAAACAAAAGCAGAGATCATACTGAATTTTAGTTTTGAAGAACAGTACCTCAGACTGAGCCTTCTCTTTTCTGTGAAAAGTCAATCAGATTAGTAGTGTACATTTATACAGCTCTCAATGAATATAAACTAGAAGGAAGTTGTCTATGTGGTATGCAGAATTGTACAGTCAACTCTTGGTTGCCTGTGGGTGTGTAACCCAGGTTGCAGATTAGCAGTGCTATGCTAAAACAAAGCAGAAAAAAGGAAAAACACCCACCATTTTTCTTTGAATTTCTGACCTCACTTTTTACTTCAGCTTAACTTTACTCCTTGATAAATGTAATAAACACAGGAAGTCCTTACCTAATATGCATATGCTTTGTATTACCTGTGTTGCAGCTTTATGTGGGTTAGGCTACTCCATTTCTATTTTCAATAACTAAGAGCTGACTGTGCAACCACAAAAGAGCCCAGCAACCCACAGTTTTATTCGACATTTGCTAGAAAACAATTGCTTGTCAAAATATCTAATTCACCTTAAAAAGCATCAGAGTTCCCTTTTATATTATTTTTTAAACCCATGAGTAATAACAGCTTGCTGCAATACTGGACTTCTATTAATATAAGTAAAATGTTCACATGCTTGAAAGGCAAAGCAAAGACAATACAAGGGAACAAACTCAATGCACTTAAAAGGAGATAATTTCAGTGGACTCCTTTGTCCCCAAAGCCTAGAGACTGATGGAAAGCTATTTTATAATTAGATTTTGTAGCTGTACCAAAACCCTTCTATTAATTGGCCAAATTTGGAAGGTCCTTAGCACCAAATAAGCTTTAAAAAAATCATTTGTTCTTGGGCAATGCAACAATAACAGAGGTTTCTTCATGAAAGAGTTAGGATAGGGGAAGTTGTTCCCTGTTGCCCCCTTCCCCATTCTCATTTTAATTTGCATAACATAAATAGCATCTGCTTCATAGCAAAGCCGAAAGACAGTGACACCCAGTGCAAGTGTCATAGAATGATGATTCTGTGAACTACTAAAGCAGCTGGAAGGAGCTGGTGGTCTCTTCGTCTTCAGGAAGGGAACCCAGACACTAAGAAACCTTGAGAAGCTGCTGCAGGAGCTTATCTGCTGGGGATGAGGGATGGCTGAGGCACTTCTTAAGGAGCAGGAGAAAGATAAGACTCACTATAAGAAACATTTAATCTTGAAGAAGGATTGATGGGAGAGGCTGTCAAAGGGCCAGTGGGGCAACAGAGGGCAGGAAAGCAACAGAGGCAGCCAGCCTATTCTCCATGGAATCAGTTCTTACTCTTTTTTTATGCCACCAGGAAAACTAAAACTACTAACTTCACATTACCCACAAGCACTAAGGATCAATGCAGATATAAAGTAGTATGACATTCTCTGCTGTTCTAAAAGAAAAGAGTAACCTACCAGCCGTGTACTTTAACTTTGGCAACAGCTTAACTTCCGTACTGAAATGAAAACAAAAGGCTTTTCATACTGTGACACAACAGTGTACTGAATTGGAATAAACCTTCTTGCTCCTTTGAATTTATACCCTCATACATTAAGTTTGATATGCTGACTGGGATCAAAATGCCAAAACCTGCAAGCTGCTTTAAGTCATGTGTACATATAATTCTTGTAGGAAGGAATCTCTGTAAAGTACTTGACATCCTGTGCCAGTGAGTTCCACTGAGTAATAACTTTGCATAAAACTTCATATGTTGCCTTTTAATTTCCCTGAACATCCCCTTGTTCTTTTAACAATGAAGAAGATAAAGGGAAACACTTCTGTTTACTGACTGCTTACTGGAACAGTTATAAAAATTTCCTTAAAAAAAGTACTTCTCCTCTGCCAGGCAGTAATAACAGTTGCATATTTTGCAGCTAGCCGAAGGAATTATATTCATATCAAAAGAAAAACATTTAGCAAAATATTTGCTTTCAGACTTGTTTACTGTTTATTATTTTAATTTACATCAGTTACTGCTTGCAAAACTTCCAGGGAAATAATTTTGAATTGTTTTTTTTCTTTTCCCACTGCATAGTAATTACAGCCTTCTTAGTATTTCAGAAGCATAGTACTACAGAAATGGTAGGGCCTGCTTCTGCTCCAAATGAAGTTAATGGGAAAACGCCAACTGACTTTATTAGGAGTTAGGTCAGGCCCCAGATTTACAGCTTTTGAAATTTCATAGTTGAAAATTTTCTGGCTAATCTTCAAAACCGACTACTTCTACAGCTATAACACTATTTACAACTTTATTTATATGTACTTCTTTATTACAATATGTAATATCAATGTTCCTTGTAAAGGTTACTATTTTATAGAAATTAGACTGAAGTTATTGCCAATCAACCTTTTAATAAACTTAAGTGGGATAACTTTCAGATTTTTTCTCAACATATGATCCAGTTTTTATTCACTCTTGCTATCTTTGACAATTGCTTAACTACCTTAATTTCAAAGCCTTTTTCAGTGTAATAAAAAAGTCCTTTTGGTAGAAGTTTATTGGTCCCATTTCAAATTATGTTCTGAAACATTCTTGTACTGATGAGGACTCATTCTTTTAGCAATTTTTCTGTTTCAACACAGTATATAAAGCCATGCCTCTCAACCAATCAACCTCAGTATAAAAGTGTAAGTGAGGTCAAACAGATCGCTCACCAAATCTTTGATGAAGTTGTCTGATCACATATAGACACAACTCTCTGAATTGTTGCATATGTTGTATAATGTTATAATACAAATTTAAGCGTCTCCATTATTGACTGCTGCTTGTGTATGTCTACATTAACTTGCTGGTCATAAAAATACAACAAAGGACAGGATATACCAATACTGAATTAAGACCTCCAGTCTTGTCTCTCCAAAAATTAAGAAAAATCTGTGTTCTTTATGATTGACCAACTCATGATGTTGTGCTTCAAATATACACATTTTCCAAAATTAAACTGTGAAGTTAATGTCAAATACTGTGTTGTAACTTTAAATATAGCTGACATATTAGAACAGGTAAATGGGTAATTATGATAAACTACACAATAGTGCTACTGTAGATAATATCATTTATCAATCCTGTGGTCCCCATCATTCATGCATTTACAGTTTGGGAATACAGTGACTGCAAAGGATAATAATTCATAATGGCTACATTCTCAGTACTTCATGCTACCTTACTAGACAAAATAAAAAAGGTTAATTGTATAACTGGAAAAATGTAAAATTTTATTCCAAGAAAATTAACAAGCTACACAGGTAAATTTTGGCAAATGCAACTTTATATTGAAATCCACACATCTGTATCTTAAAGAAGGAAAGACTCACAGACTCTAATGTATTTCTAAAATACTAAGAAATCATATTATATGCTTTCACAAGTTAAAACTTAAATAATTTAAAACAACCAATACACCAAAATGTGCAGAAAATATAAACAAGACTGTGCCTTCAGTAGAATAAATGCTTCACAAATTGTGCAAGATATCATACTAAGGCTGCGGTCTCCCCATGACAGCTGTCTTAAAATATAAACATACATCAACTGCCTGTGTTTCTCAGAACAAACTAGAAAGGGCGGCACACCTAGAAAAAAATCATATAATCCCAGTGATGTGCATACTGATTTTGGGAACCACTGGAGTAAAAAGGAAAAAAGAGGACTAAGTGATCTTTCATGCACTCCCAAATGACTGACCAGAGTTATTGATTCAATTTTCCTTGCTTATTTGCTTCAATGCTAAACAAAATGGAAGATACTAGATAACCCTTTAAGGCAACATGTGTTTATTCTGTATAACTGTTCAATTATGATGGGATATTATCATTAACGTTGCCTAACAGACTGATATCTAGCTTTCTAAAAAATAGAAATAAGAGTCTATTAAACTTTATACCAAATCAGCAAAAACCGCAGAATACAGTTAAATGTTAGTAATTTCACTGTTAAGGAAAATGGTATTTAGAAAGAGTAATATATTTTGGGGAAAAAGAGAGAAAAAAAAAGTCTAAATCTGAACAAAAATACTGCTTTGGAATGCTCCCCAAAACTTACTCACAAGGCAAACAGATTTGTAAGTGTGATAATCCAATAATGCATGGCACATCTTTACTCGGTTACAGTACTTGAGTCCCCAGTTTTCAGTCTTTGCAAAACAATAATTGTATGAAATGTTTTAAAGGTCTTCAGATGTCTAAAATTAGTTTTATCAACACATTAACCTCATATCAACTTAATTTATTAAGATGTCCAATGCTAATCTTTTTGATGGTCTTATTTTATGTAGTGATATACACAGCATTTAGCACTGATACTTAGCACCTGCTACTTTCATAATCTAGATTTCAACCACATAAAGGAATTCAGGGCAGTAGTTCAGTCCTTTGTTCTTAAT